CCAGGTCCAGGTCTAAGTCAGAGCCCCAGTCTCTGTTATACAAGTCCAGGTCCAGGTCTAAGTCAGAGCCCCAGTCTCTGTTATACATCAACAAGTCCAAGTCCAGGTCAGAGCCCCAGTCTCTATTTTTTTTTTTTTTTGCCACTAATTTTTTTTAAATGATTTTTTCAACAGAAAAACATCAACGACATAACATCAGAATAATTGCCAGACATTTAGACATATTCACTTTTAGGTCATAACCTAAGTAGTCCCAGTCTCTGTTATACATCAACAAGTCCAAGTCCAGGTCAGAGTCCCAGTCTCTGTTTGAGGGAGATTTCTGACGGTTCCTGTACACACATTTCTTTTCACAGACCTTAGGTTGACTCAGGTCGCGGTTTCTGTAATCTTGTGATTTGTCAGAAAGGAACGACTTCCTCTTTAACACACCTGACTGTTTGAAACCCTCAGAGTGGTACCATGTGGTTCAGACTGAGAGCAGGTTTCACTTTCAGCTGGACTCAGAAGAGGAACATGAACACTTTTAGATTACGGCTCTGGTGCCTGCTAAAGAAGAAGGAACAGTTTGAACACGTGTTAAAACCCACAAACATGGTCTCACTTCTTTAGAGAGAAGGTTTAGGTCTGGAGGTAGGGACCAGTCGAGGTCCATGTGGACTCTGTAAGTGAGGGAGACTTGACTTCTTTCTGGTCTTGGCTCACGCCGCTCTGACAGTCTGCTCGACGCCTCGCTGTGACGAGCCGGTCCAGAAAACATCACAATGGCGGCTAAATATAGAACCAGGCTGGAAACTAGAGCGAGCGACGACGCTGCTGCTGTGTGAGTGTAAGAAAAGTCAAACAGCGGACGATACACTCGACCAACGATCAGATCCGAGTATCAATAAAGTGTTAATCCGATTTGATCAACATCTACCACATTTAGTTGATATTTAAATATGTAATATATAAGAATGACAAACTTTGAATATAAATGAGATAAGATAGTTGAGGGATGACTCTGGTATTTGTGTCTCTTCTGTACCAAAAGTTACCATGGCGATTGTATTTCCTCTTTTTAGCATAAAAACTGGTTTAAGGAGACAGATCGTCTCCGAGATAGTTGAGGGATGACTCTGGTATTTGTGTCTCTTTGTACCAAAAGTTACCATGGCGATTGTATTTCTCTTTTTAGCATAAAAACTGGTTTAAGGAGACAGATCGTCTCCGACTACGCAGCAGTTATTTCTGTCTCTAAATGATCAGCTGCCGCTTCGCTGTGCGAGGGCTTTAATCCGTTTTGCATCGTTCACTCATCCAACATCAGCAGCACCCCTTCACCCCACCCCCCTCTCTCCAGGTTTCCATGGTGATGAAGAGTGGGTACTGCTCTTTTTCTGGGTTACTTTGCATTTTCCCCTCTGATCTAATCTTTCCCCTCACTCTCTCATCCACCCCCTTCCTCCCCCACCCCCTCATCCTCTGCAGGCCCTACTTTGAGATGAAGGCGAGGTACTATCTGCAGCTGGAGGTACGTGACGCCTGCTCAACTCTCATTTATCTTTGTCTTGACCCGCTGGTTTCCCTGAAGGTGAAAGGAATGTTGTTGACGACCTGGAGCTTGATAAAGGGATTCTTATTTCTGGATTCTTCTCCTTTAAAGTTTATTTATTAATAAACTGTCATCACCCCCCCCTTTAAAGTTTATTTATTAATAAACTGTCATCACCCCCCCTCACTCATCGTCTCCCCAGAACCTGAAGAAGAACGTGGACGAGCGGCAGGCCAAACTGTCTCAGGCCAAAGGCGAGTACAAGACGGCGCTCAGGAACCTGGAGATGATCTCCGATGAGATCCACGAGCGACGGAGAAGCTCCGCCATGGGCCCGCGGGGGCGTGGCGTGGGCTCAGAGGGCGACAGTGTTTCAGGAGACGACGTCTCCAGCTTCAAGATGGAGTCAGACGGGATATCCAGTGAGTACAGTTCAGCTGCTTTCTGACAGAGAGCTGCTGGAACTCTTCAACCTTTAACGCTGTATTGATGTTTGTTCCACCAACGTTGCGATGTTGCTGCCTCTGCATGCGTGAGCATGACTCAGACGATTGTTCTGATGAGATTAAAGGTCAGATTGTAAACGTTACATCGTCCCATCTCGCCGCTCTGCTGTCAGTAACAGCTGCTCCCTGCTGGTTCTCTAAATGTCAGTGAATGTAGAAACGCCTCCTTTAGTGTTGAAGGATGGTTTTAACATGAGCTGTGTTTATGCAGTTTGGATCCTAATGTCAACTACTTCCTTTATCCCCCTCCCACGTCCTGCAGTGGCGTCAGTATGTTTCGATGACGAGGCGTGTGGCGGCAGCAGCTTCATGTCTGAGGAGGACTCGGAGACTCGCTCCACCTGCAGCGTGGGGTCGTCTCCCAGCAGCCCTCAGGAGCTCCTCTCCAGCTGCCCCTTCGCTAGCTCGTCCACATCCTCCTGCACATCCTCCTCCCCCTCTCCCTCACCCACTCCCTCCTCCCCCGCCCTCCCCTCCCGGCCCTGCAGTCTTGACCTCCCCAGCACCGTGTCGCTGTCTGACTTCGGACTCATCTCTCCGGTGCTCGGGCCTCGCAGCGAGTGCAGCGGAGCGTCGTCTCCTGAGTGCGACCTGGAGAGAGGTGGGTGAAAAACAAGACCGGCCTTCTCATTTTTTGATCTTTTCACAGCTGTGTTATGCGTTATATTTCATCTTGTTCAATGTTTTTAAGGTTTTTATGAGTTTAGAAAATACTCATTCACTGAAGAGAAGGTGTAGGGGACTACAGATATGGTATAGGGGACTGTAAAGATGGTGTAGGGGACTGTAAAGATGGTGTAGGGGACTACAGAGATGGTATAGGGGACTGTAAAGATGGTGTAGGGGACTACAGAGATGGTATAGGGGACTGTAAAGATGGTATAGGGGACTGTAAAGATGGTGTAGGGGACTACAGAGATGGTGTAGGGGACTACAGAGATGGTATAGGGGACTGTAAAGATGGTGTAGGGGACTACAGAGATGGTATAGGGGACTGTAAAGATGGTGTAGGGGACTACAGAGATGGTATAGGGGACTGTAAAGATGGTGTAGGGGACTACAGAGATGGTATAGGGGACTGTAAAGATGGTGTAGGGGACTACAGAGATGGTATAGGGGACTACAGAAGGTGTAGGGACCACAGAGATGGTGTAGGGGACTACAGAGAAGGTGAAGGGGACTACAGAGATTGTGTAGGGGACTACAGAGACTGTGTAGGGGACTACAGAGATGGTGTAGGGGACTACAGAGACTGTGTAGGGGACTTCAGAGACTGTGTAGGGGACTTCAGAGATGGTGTAGGGGACTACAGAGATGGTGTAGGGGACTACAGAGAATGTGTAGGGGACTACAGAGACTGTGTATTGTTATTGAGAAGGGGAAGAAAAAAAATTGGACACAAATGAATATATCAAATAGATATCTGAAAGATGAAGATGTTTAGACTGGAGTTTCACAGCTTCAGTTCATTGATGGAAATACAAAACATTTCATGGTTGTGTGTGTTGGTATTAAATTAACCTTTTAATGACCTCCTCGTCCTCGATCAAAGACTGTTTGTTTAAATCAGCTGTGACCTCGTTTCCTGCTGCAGGTGACCGGGCAGAAGGTGCAGAGGGAGACCTGGACAACGCTCCTGCTGTGACCGCCACAAACAACAACAACATGAACAGCAGCTCCACTCCCAGCGCCAAGAAGAGCTTCAGCCTGGAGTCACGCTTCAGCTTCCTGAACCTGCGCCGCTTGCGCACCGACAACGCCAAAAACACGGACAAGGCTGAGGCGGGGAGCACTGTGGTCTTAGTCAAAGCGGTCTGATTGTGGGATTTCTGGCTCCATGTGACCTCGAGCTCTCTGAGACTTTAACAAGCTGTTTATAGGCTATAACTGCACGCCATCTCCAAACTCCACGGTCACCCCGAGACTCTGAGGGCACAATTCACTGAGAAAGGACGCAGGTGCAAGAAGTCTTATTCACAAAGCATAGAGCTCTGACCATGTTTAAAAAGTCTGCTCGGTGCAGTTAGCTCTTGTTTAGTGTTTGAATGTGGAGAGAAGATATCTGCAGCTTCACTCTGCACAGAGCTGCACTCTCACTCTGACGTTTAGCTGGTATCTCTCTGCACAGGTGTAGCAGGTGCAGATGTAGCAGGTGCAATCCTTCAGTGAATCCGCCCTGAATGTCATCATCTGTATATAAAGTGTTCTGAACGTCTCAGCAGCATCGTTCCTCCCGTTCATCATCTTCTCTCGGACTCTCACGCCTGAGAAACAGCGAGCGCTGTGGTGTGTGAGACGTGTTGATGATGGTCAGAAAATATTCATTATTTGATTTGATTGTATTTTTCACTCAGTTAAAGGTTCAGCCTGTCCTCCATCTTTCTGTTTAATGTTGATCTAGTGGAGAGTGTCTGACTGTTAAATAACACGTTCTGTTTGATTAGAAGTCACACGTGGAGATAAATAAAGAATAAAGGATTGTTACATGTCCTGTGTGTTGTTTATGTCTGACTCTGTTTCAAATGTCCAGGCTTCATTCACTTTGAAACAAAGGAGGAAAAGGTGCAGGAAGTAGAGAACGTCTGAACCAGCTGATCTAACCAGCTCGGTGGCTTCTGACTCTAGACTCTCTTTTATACTCACATCAGCCAGGACTCCCTTAAAAAAGAGGTTTTTTAATCTCAATGGGACTTTCCTGGATAAATAAAAAAAATAAAAATCAGTCGTTCGTGTTCAGAACATAATCTGTTTTCTCTCAGGTGAAATGTTTGTTGTGAATGTGAGACTGATGAAGCATGAAGGTAAGTCTCGTGTCAGCATTGCTCGATGTCAACAACAGTGACGAGGCTGAAAGGTCGATTTGAGCGTGTGAAGAGGTCGTCACGGGAGAAACTGACACTCATCGAGTGAGTTTTATCAGCTGCTGACAGGACGCCGCTCTCAACCTGAGGAGTCAAACATCGTCTTCTGATGTCCAGCTGACATCCTTCAATTTAATGAAATCACTTCTTACAAAACAATAAAAGACTTCAGAAACATTCAGAGAGTCACTTTGTTTTTCTGTATTCAAAGTTTGAACAAGTCCAGCATCATCAGTGCAAGTGCTGCAAACATGACCTCATCACTCATACAATATGACATCACTGCTGCAAACATGACATCACTGCTTCAAATGTGACATCATCTCATCTGCAAACATGACATCATCACTGCTGCAAACGACATCATCACTCATACATGACGTCATCACTCATACGACATGACATCATCACTCATACAACAGGATATAAGATGAGCTCATCTCTGAGTTCTTGTTGAACAAACTGTCAGATTTTTATTTCCATACATTTGATGAACAAAATGAGAAAAAGTGCAGCACATCCTCTACAGAGGAAACAGAGGACGCGTTCTTGGCATGAATACATTTTTAAATGTTGACTGTGAAAAGTGATCAACATTACTCACGCACGCACACACTCTCACTGTTTGTGATATCTGTCTCAAGTCGTGCTGCGTGCTGACCTGAGGCCGCTCAGTGAAATCCACCCACACACACAACATGCAGAGTCGTCATTCAGCTGCTGCCGTACTGGACTCCCTGTGCCGCTGCACGCCGCTCCTGAGAATAAAAACTGTCCCTTCAAACACTTTAAATCCTCTTCTAACTCCAGACTTTAGATCTCAAACTAAACGAGAAGTGCCCCCCCCCATACAAACTGTTATATTAATTTAGTTTTCTATCTTTGGCGCCACTTTCTACCTACTCTATCTTCTTCAAGTTGTTTGGCAGACGATGTCAACCTTTAGGTTTTTATACTTCACATCCTCTGAATGTCTAAACTCTGACTCTCTGTATCTCTGCTGTCTTTCTCTTGTAGACTGCTTTATATGTTGATGAATGAGGACAGTGATAGCAGCTAACTAACTACAGTTACATGTGCTGCTCCCTTATTGGCTGGCGTTCAGTCGGCCCTGTTTGTCGTAGGTCGTGGCCGTGTTATGTTCACATCGAACCATCTGATCCAGAACTGTTACTTTCATCGAGATAACTGTTTAAAAGTTTTGGTGAAAGTGTTTTTTATTTAGGCTCTTCTGGTCCGCAGTCCATCTGTTACTCGTGTTTCAGAGAGACAACCAGAGAACCAGAACCAGAACCAGATTCTGTTTGAGTCTTGATAAGTCCCACACCTCGTTACTCTCTCTCTCGCTCTCTCTCTCCTGCACCCCCCCCCCCCCCTCTCTCTCCAGCGGTTTCTTCATTGAAGCTGGGAGACCTTGAGGGAAGCGGTGCTGGCAAAGTCCAAGAAGAAGGGTCCTTCCTGTTTGGGCAGGAAGGTGGTGGGGATGACGTTGTAGATTCCTGCTGGGACGAGTTCGGCCTCCATGTAGCAGAATCCACACCTGGAGACAGAGAGACACTTTGAGGTCATGTTCAACCTTTAGGCCGGACATCAGCAGCGCCTCTGAAATGTTTTTAACTCAAAGCAATCCCTGCACTTTTACTCCGCCTGCTGCTAACGCTCTCTACTTATTGAAATGAATGAAAAAAGACGCTAGCGCTCTCTGTGACCACACCTCCTCACCTGAGCACACTTTGTCTTACCTGTAATCTCCACTGCTCTTCTTCTGGAAGGCGGCCGGGCCGGGATCGCCGACCTGCGACACGGTGACCATCTCGAAACCAACGCTGTACTGCCTACAGACGCACACGAGCGGAGAGATGACAGTCAGGGTCTGATCAAATATCTCTTTGATTTGATTTAACCCTAACTCCCCAAACCCCCCTAACCCTCTGAGTCAGCCTGACCTGGACCCTCGCAGCTCAATCAGCAGCGGTCCAGTCCGCTCCACGTTGATCTGGTAGATGGGGTTGTGCTTGTATGAGTCCTTGTAGTTCCCACATCCTCCTGCAGAGGCGCCTTTCCACTGGCCGTTAATCTGCAGACAGGAGCACAGCTTCAGAGAGCAGCAGGAGGAATAAAGTACGGCTGTAAACTTGTAAGTTAGAGAGAGGATAACAAACCCTTTTGGTCTGTGTGAAGGGATTCGGGATCTTGGAGAAGTTGAATTTACTTCCAGAGTAAACCTGAGAAAGAAAACAAAGATGAAGAAGGACCTGATGAAAGTGATCCAACAGGACTGTGAAACGATCTCCATCGAGTTCATCACTCAGTCAGTGAGCAGCTGTCTCTGTCAGTACCATCTGTGTCCACCAGAGGGACTTTGTAATCCTGCTAGCTACCTGTACGCTAGTCGAGCTCTCAGCCTACGCTAACGTTGATAGATGTAAAGTTCAGACCCACATTTAAAAACTGAGCAGCCAATAGGACGCCTGTAATACACAATGAACAGAGGTGTCAGGTGGCGTGCAGAGAGTGATGGGGGCTGCGACACTTGGGGTCATGAGCGTGCATGTTTCTTCATTTTATAATGGTAAACTGGTCACACAGGTAGAAACAAACAAAAGAAATGACGCCTCGTTCTCAGCTGATTTATTCCCTCAGTAAACATTTCCCTAACGACTTCATCTTCTCCATCCCTCGGGTTCATCTAAACAGCATGATGTCTGTTTTCTTGAATCAAAGAAACACTAAAGTAGGGTCGCTTAACGATGGCTACGTTCATTACTCTATACTGTGTTGGCTCAGGACAGCGAGCGGCTGGATGCATCAAGAGTCTTCATGTTCTGAGGCCAAAACAGGACGCTAACACCAAGCACAAACATCAACATAAAGCAGAGAGCTGCTGGAGTTAAGGATCAACCTTAAATGTTTCCAAACAGAATCCCAGCTGTTCATTTCTTCATGACTATCTGCACAGAGTAGAGATTTATATCAGCTCGGGAAACATCAGACGTCACGTTTTCTGCTCCATGCTTCGATCTCTGCTGAAGACTCAGAACAAGAGAGTCGAGTCAGTTTTTGTCAGGACGAGCTTCAGAGTTAGACGCTGATCTGAGCCGACGGGAGGGGAGAGAGAGAGGGGGCGAGCGAGCTTACAGTGGTTAGAGGTGACACCACGTGATGTCTCTACACGTGTGAACGGAGAGTCTCTTTAATGAGCACGCCACACGCCTCGCTACAGTCAGCAGCAAGACGCCATGAATTATAAATAACTCAGAGTAGATATGGGGCACATATGCACAAATACACACACACACACTCTCACACACACACACTCTCACACACACACACACACACACACACACACACACACACACACACACACACACACACACACACACACACACACACACACACACACACACACACACACACACACACACACACACACACACACACACACACACACACACACACACGTGTGATACGTGCACTTCTCTTTTTGATTTCATGATCAACACTTGAAGTTCCTGAATGTTTTCTCGTTGACGCATTAAAGGTCGTCATGACACAGAAAGCCTGAAAACATGAAAGGTCTTTCTATTCTCCAGATTGAACATCACCCTTTCTAGAGAAGTGTCCCTGAATTTAATTTAATTTACATTGTTTCCTGTCCTCTGAAAGCCTACGACTCGCTGGTTAAACAAATTCACTCGACGCTGCGGTGAACGCCCGGCAGACACTGACCCTGTCAGCATGGATTATGTCCTCATGGTCTGGTCCCCACTCTATCACATGTGCTTACCATAAATCTGCCGGGTCCTGCAACTGGCAAGTCCCGTCCTGAGAGTCTGGGGGCTGCTGTTGCAGGACGCGTCCAAAGACAAATGGTATCATCATCTTTATTTCTGTCTAAACTTTCCTCCTGCTCTGTTTGCTATCGTCACTTGAACTGTTTTCACAATTAGCACAGTAAAAAAATAAAAAATCAGGCACTTCAAAATCCACATTAATGAAATCCATCAAAGAAGAACAGGCTCCAGAAAAGAGACCAGATACACGTCTTTAAATAAATAAATTCTGAGTTTCTCTTTTCAAGGTTACAACGTTTTAACAGAAGCGTCCCTCACCCTCAGAGTGTAGTTGATGGTGTTCTGTTTCTCATACTGGGACACCACCAGTGTGAAGGTGTGTGTTCCTGCGCTGGTCAGCTTCATCTTGGTCAGGTAGTGGGGGCTGTTGATCCGGATGCCGTCGATGAAGGGAGGGGGGTCCGCTGGGGGGGGGGGATAATGTAAAGTGAGCAGGTTGTTATTACAGGATGGGAGGACTGTCTGCCCCATCATGTCCTTCATCTTTAAACTCCACCGTCTCTTTCCGGTGGACACACTTAAAAACACCCACGTCTTTTTAACCGGACTACTTTCTGTGGACTGATATGATCACAGTTAGACTGAGATTAGATCCACTTCCATAGCAACCGTATGATGTCCTTAGTAACAGCTTGTTGATGATCTAGCTGCTGCTGGCACAGATCATTTCAGAGTCTGAAGCAGTTTAAAGACACCTGTCAGCTCACCTGGGTAGTACACCTTCTTCCCATCGGTCTTGTAAACGACGAGGGTGATAAACTCCCTGTTCTGTGCGAAGTCGTCCTGGACAGACACACAGATGGTTAACAGATTAGCAGGTGTTAGATGGAGGAGATGATGATGATGATCTGGACTTGTGTCTCTACCTTGTCTGTGATGTGTCTGGTGAGCAGCACCCACACAGCAGCGCCCCCTGCTGGACACTGGACCTCCAGCTTGTACTGCGGGTTGTTGGCCAGACTGTAGACGTCCTTCACCGGGCCCTGCTTCCCATCCCAGCTACTGCAGAGCACAAACACCAGACTCTGATTAAAACGCACGCTTTTTGTTCTTTTGACGGATAATTAAGGACATGAAGAAGAAAATCCTCCAATTTAAAAAGATGAATCCTGCAAACGGCTTGAAAAGTTACTGAAATATAAAATCAACTTTCTTTCTCTACTTTCAGGGGATTTTTTTAAATTGTTGCTCAACATACACACACACACAAACACACACACCAACACACACACACATACACACACAGACACACACACACCTGTGGATGCAGGAGGAGTCCTTGAACAGGGCGGGGTTCCAGCTCAGGTAGATGACATCATAGTACTGACAAAGGTCCTCCCATGCGATCCAGAACACACCTGGAGGTGAAAAGACAAACACATCACATGTGATGTGCTGCTGCAGACTCCGCTTCTCTGCAGCTGAGTCGCTTTCTTTTTCTCCTGCCACTCTGACAAATCTCTAACAAGAAGGAGTTAAAGAAGGCGGGGATCCTCTGACCAGCTGAAGAACTGTGGAGGTCACACTGTACGAGTCAATCAGGATTGAGAGCTCACTATTGTTAACAACATTTCCTTTGAAAACTCCCTCAGACAGAAGTCAAAGCTCTCACAGTGAGGCAGAGTCAGAGTTGTCCTGAGATCAAGCGGTGAACGCCGTCCTGTGGCGGATTAATCTAAAATAAGCAGCGGGACTAAGAAGACTTTTCACTGAGGCGTCAGCACGTTATCTTCAGTGTTATCATCGTTTTTAGGTTCTTTTAAGAAAACAAATCGAGTACCGTTATCGAACTTCTGGGCCGTCTTTGGATCAAAGTTGAGGTACTTGAGGAGGTCGGGTGTCCAGTTCTTCTCGTCTCGCTCGCTGTAACGGCCCTTCCACCGCAGGTGACTCCACGGATTCTTCAGCTGCAGGAAACGCATTCCCTACGAGAGCAACACACACACACACACACACACACACACACACACACACACACACACACACACACACACACACACACACACACACACACACACACACACACACACACACACACACACACACACACACACACACACACACACACACACACACACACACACACACACACACACACACACACACACACACACACACACACACACACACACACACACACACACACACACACACACACACACACACACACACACACAGGACAATAAGAGTCTCCACTGGAACGCCTCAAGGTCGGCCGCCTGCTGCTGCAAGCGCTCCCTAGTCATGGTTAACAACTGAACATCACGCCGTGTGGACCCGGGGTCTTACTGTCAGCGTTCACTGAGACATCAGAGTGACTCAGTGTTTCTTGTCTTTCGACCACAGAGTCTTAATTTACGTTCTCTCTCCCCCCCCCGCCGTGTTACCAGTAGAAAGTGGTGAGCAGTTTACAGACGCCACAGACCGTTACAATACGTCCAAAGCCGGTGAGCTGTCGTCAATTTAATGTATCTGACCGAGTCTGGATTTCAGTTGCACTTTGTGACATTTAGTTTTTACGTTTTTACATATTTTATAAAATTATGAGGTTAAGATAAATTTATTTATTTTCGGCCGACCTTGTATTCTCGGATGTCAAGAACAGCGTAGGCGTGTGTTGGCACCAGACCCCATCTCTCCCCTTCCTCCTCTGACATCACGCCTGTTGCCGTGGTGACGAGGACGTCGCCCCTGTGAAACCTGGCAACAGAGCGCGAGAGAGACAGGGAGAGAGAGAGAGAGGGAGAGAGGGAGAGAGAGAGAGAGAGAGAGAGGAGAGAGGGAGAGAGTAGAAAACAAACACGGGTCAAACAGAGGTGGAGACATTAAAGGACGGACACAGCGAGGTGTGAGAGCGGCGCCCTCACCTCTGGAACAGCATCCTGAACGTGTCGTCTTTGCTGAACGACTGATTGTCTGAGTGCATGGCGATGCGTTCAGGGATCCAGCCAGTGAGCGCGTGCAGATCGATATTCTGCAAAACATACACAAAAGTTCAGACAGTTTTACAACCTGGATTCTTTCCAAACTTCAGGTTTTCAGTTTGATGCTGACGAGTGGAGGATGTTAAAGGCCTGCAGAGACCTCCATGTGTTTACAGCCTGTGTGATATTACCTCCTCGCTCTCTTGTTCCCTGTCATCAGTTTGAACTAAGAGTTATAAAGCTGAGTCTCTCCACCTTCACTCACCGAGTTGGAGCCGGGGAAGTCGTATCCTCCCATCACCTTCATGTAGGCCTTCTCGATCAGGGACACCCAGAGCTCGTTCCTGTTGCTGGAGTAGGAGCACAGCAGCTCCCCGTTACGATCCACGGGCAGGTAGTCGTCTATGATCACCTGCAGCCGGGACGGAGAAGTGCTCTCATGACGACTGGATTTAGAACAAGAAACTTCACTGACGTGTTTGAGACTTAGAGAAACTGGATGAAGAGGAGGAGGAGATGTGAAGTCTCTATAAACATTTAAACCTGCTGTTATCTGCTTCAGCACCCCTCAACTAAACCTACACTTATTTATTTATAGATATATATATATATATATACACATATATTATTAGCGTCTCCTACAGATTGACGGGCTGCAGGGATTTAACCCTTACCTTCCTGGGGACTCCGTTGATATGAAGTTTGACCATGTACTTCCCACACGGGTTATACTCTGGTTCCCCTCGTCTGTTCTGAGGATAGATGACGCTGGAACACACACACACACACACACACACACACACACACACACACACACACACACACACACACACACACACACACACACACACACACACACACACACACACACACACACACACACACACACACACACACACACACACACACACACACACACACACACACACACACACACACACACACAGTTTAAAATGAACATGGGATATAAAATAAAGTTGTTTTTTTGGGGTCTTCAAAGGGTCAGATGTGAAAGTTGCTGAAAAAGGTAAAAGGTGATCGTCTGCTCATCGTACCTAGTGATGAGTTTCTTGTTGTAGCGCCTCTCGTAGGCCGCGCTGATGGCGAGTGACGCCACAAAGGAACAGTCAGACACCACGGTCTGCACACAGGGAACACAGGATCACGTCATGAACACTTTAAGATGGTTTCAACATCTTTAAACTAAGATCATTAAAGTTTCAGGTTTCACTTCTGAAGGCTACTTCCTGTCATGTCAAACATCAGACTAGGATACAGCTGCGCCCTCTACTGGCCGACTTTAAACAAGCGCACGCATCCAACAGAAAACACACGTCAGCTCAGCAGGATGTACGTTCAATGCTCGGTGTATCTACGATAACTAATTTAGTTTGTGTGCAAAGAAATAAGGCCTAACACAAATGTGACGAAGAAACACTAAATGACCACCAGGAGGTCTCCCCTTCTCTGTGGGTGCAGAGGGGGCTCAGGAGCTCCGTTTAGACTTCCTTTCATGACATCACAAAGGGCAGTAGCCCCTCCCCCAGGTGGGTGACACTCCCACAGCTAGGTGTTTGTTCTGCCCTCTGAGTCTGCCTTCTCACCGTAAACAATAGGACATGGAGCGAGAAAGCCAGACACACCCAAGCCCTTTCAGAGAGGGGGCGTGGTCAGACACAGCTCATTTACATATTTAAAGGTACAGACACAGAAACAGCCTGTTCTGAGCAGGGCTGAAATAGAGGGGTTTAAAGGCATGATCAAAGACAGGATCAGAGTGGATGTAGAACAAGAAACTTCACACACATGTTTTGAGGAGCTCTGAGACTTATTTACACTGGTTGAAGAGGAGGAGGATATGTGACCTTTAACCTATTCACAGGGTGACATCTGCCACAGAAATACAGGACAGTAAATATCAGTTGGTGTTTAACAGACGGAGGCTCGATCCGCTCTGACCTGCTTGATGCTAAAGCTGGACACAGACATGATCATGGTGGGGTTATTACAGATCTCGTCTGGACGGACCCAGCGGGAGAAGATGGCTTTCTGTTTGGGTGACAGAGCTAGCTTTCCGGTTTTGTCCCTGTGAGAAGAAGAAGAAGAAGAAGAGTTGATACAACATAAGTCACATCACGATGGTAAAGCAATCACAGAAACACTGAAAGCATTTCTTCAGCCTCCTCAGTAACAAACATGATCCTGCTGTAGTGTTTGCTCATCTTATGAGTTTGTCTTTAGTCCTTCAGCTCTTATTCTTTCCAGGAGGCGGTGTGTCCGTTAAAGGACAGCGAGGTTATCAGCTGATTAAAGCGCTTCACTCAATGACCTGTTAACGTTTGTAATGATGACATGTTGTCACAACAGTAAAACTGTCTGTCCCATAATGAACAGATCACATGCTATTTATTTTATCTGAGATGTTGCAGCGCCCCCTGCTGGCCATCATATGTAATTGAGTTAAATGCTGTTTGTCTGTTCTGTTGTTCAGATAAACTTTGAGCTGAAGGTTCAGGATTTAAACGAGCAACGGCAATAAATGTTTTTATTATTTAGGTTTCATAAAATTACTACGGCTTAGGTATCAGTACGTTAGAGGGATGTAACGGTACACAGAGGGCACGGGGTCACGGTTTGGTGCACCGAGGTCGGGTTGCGATGGCGGCAGGCGAAGAAAGTCAACCCAGACCTCCCTCTACCCAGCAACGTTTTCCAGCTCGTCCTGGAAGATCCTGATTAGATGACTGAACCACCTCAACTGACTCCTTTAGATGTGAAGCGGCATTCCCCCCCGATTGACAGCAGTGACGTCCCAACCGACTCAGTCTAACCTTTAATGTCATCTTCCCCTCCTGGCTCCTCCCACTGACCTCTCTGTTATCTTTGCTGCTTCAGCAGAACCAGAAAGCTCGACCACATCACTCCCACTGAAGCGTCTGATCAGGTCGGCTGAGTCCGTCCCTCTTAAATCACACTCTTATCCTGATTTAGCTGACTTTAACATGTTTTAAATTAATTTTATGTCTTTAAATGTTTCTAAGTTATATTTGTATAACTTCACAAACTGAGAGAAAGAGGAACTCACGAGAACGGGACAGGGAAGGCAAAGCGCTCCCTCAGGTCCACGCTCATGAAGGGCACATAGGCCATGTTGTTGATAGTAGAAGTACTCCTGAAAGGAAACAAAGACAGAGCGGTTAACCTTCAGAACACTCAGACGTCTCTTTAGTGAAGACCCCCCCTCCCCCTCCTAGCTCTCACCTGAGCACCTCGATCTCCTCAGACGTGTAGCGCTGACCCTGAGGCTCGCTGGACTGGACCGCTCTCATTGGCTGGGGTCGGTCGTGGAGGCTGAAGTCTGGCCCGAGGGGGAAGAACTGGCGGGCCGGTCCTCCAGAACTGGCAGCACCGCTGGGCCTGGTTCCTGGAGGCCCCGTCCTGTCCTGAGTCTGAGCCGGAGCTGATCTGGACTGAGACTCTTTGAGACCCTCGGCCCTGCCCGAAAACAACGGCAGAAAGAGACCGTTAAACTCATTCAAATGAAAGAAGTGAATAAAGACATGAAGAAGGAGACAGGAAGTAAAGGACGGTCTTTAGTATCCGGGCAGTTTAGAAGATTTTTTTCATTTTAATGAACTTTAATCAACAGGAGATGTTGCATCATCAACTTGAAATGATTTCCCTTAAAATTAAAAAAAATGTCCCATAGTCCATACGTGCTGCAGTCTGTCAGAGACGCGCACTATAGCGCCGTCTCAGGAGCGTGCTAGCAGCGTCACTCCGCTATTTTTGACGGAGCCCACTGCAAGCTGAACAGAATAGATCGACCCGGACAGGAAGTCATAGAAGGGAACGCACAGAGCAACAAACAGACTCCTGATACTGTTGTTTGCACTTTGTTATTGTTGTTGTTGTTGTTTGTTTGATTGTTTCTTTATTCAGGCGTGATCTTGTAGTTCTCTTATGATTTTATTTATTGATTCGAGTGGAAGCTGCTGAATGTTTGGCAGCACTTTGAGTCTAAGACAAATTTCCCCAAGGGGAATATAAAGTCTATCGTATCATATCATGTGCACCCGTGTGTCCGGCTGCTCATGATCCAGAAACAGACCCAGTTGTTCGGGTTGTGGTCTGTTGGACAGAACTAAGCCGTGGTGCAGAGACGTGATGTGGAAACTGCTGGAAAAAGGCCAGAAAATGGAAAGCTGAAGAAAAAAACGGTTCTGGGCGTGCCACATCTGAAATGTTCCACACAAAGTTGGGACTGTTTAGGGAGCTGGGGGGAAACACCTGAAATAAAAGATGTGTCCAGCTGACATTCAGGAAGCCTCACCTGTCCAGAGCCTGCCGAGCCAGCTGCTTCAGTTTGGTCTGCAGCGCCGGGTCCGCTGTGTCGTTAGACTGAAACACAGGAGGTCATATAAACATGAGAGTAAGAAGGGACGATGGAGTTTAGTGCATGAGAGAAGAGACGGGTGAGAAGCAGAGAGTCACAGAACGAGAGGCCTTACCGTCTTGATGCACAGCTCCACAGCCTGAGTGTACAGTTCAACGGCTTCGTCGTCGTTTCCCTTCTCGTCTTCCTCAAAGGCCTGCGTGACCAGGAAGTGGGCTCGCTCCAAGTCCACCTGCTGCCGGGACTTCAGCGGGTCACTCTTCTGGGCCTGGACTGGAGTCAGAGAGAACGTTAAGAGGACGCTCTTAAAGCTGCAGTGAGGAGCTTTGAAACAGACGTTAAAACTGGCGACCTCTTAAAGTAGACTACACCTTCAGAGACTGGATCGATTACTTCTGTATTATTATTTTAATGCCTGAAATCACTGCTGGGGGGGGCGGGGGGGGGGGGGGGGGGGGGGTGGATCACACAAAGTGAGTAACAGTTAAAACATTTTCCATGGCAACAATTTATAATGATATGTTTGTTCAGAGAAAACACGACGAGATCAGAAAACACGACTTGACACATGTAAAGTATTTAGCAAAGCCATGACATCTGCTTTGTCCACCAGGGGGCTCCAAAACCAACACAAAGTTCTTCTATGGGGGGTTAGGGAAGCTTCCAACAACAAACAGCAAACAAGAAGTTTCCTTTTGTCCACAGAAGTTGTTAATTTTCATCTTTTTATGGAATGAGAAATGATTACTGATGTAACGATTCACTCAACTCACGATACGATTCTCACACGATTTAGTTCACAAAATGAGACTGAAGACAAATTATGACTGAAAAAGAACCCTTTCATTTCTTCATGAAAAACACCAATGCACCTCGTCATCTCTTTGGCTCTCTTTGCACTTAGAGGACTAGAGTAGAGGACTTGTTTGGTCATATAGTGTAAAAAAGAAAACATCTACAGGAAGTAAAAATAATACGTCATCTCTTCTGAACAGCAGGAAGAAAAACGAATGAGTGCTAAATGTGTCATCGACAGGCTGAGCCACAGAACACGACCACAGACTCAGAGGTCACACACCTACGCGTTGAGCGAGCCGAATGACCCGCGGGAGGCGATCAGAGAAGCTCACACGCGGTCTTATTTTAAGTCACTTTTAAAAACTCTATTTTCGCCCTGCTGTTTGTGTGTGTTATGTTTTATCATCTGTTTCCTATTGGCTTTAATAAAATGATGTGCTTCAGCCGCTCGACAAACGGAGGTCGGAGCTCTCAGAGGACAACCTCTGACCTTCAAAGTATAACTCAGTGGACTCCTTCTCTCAGGCAGAATCCAGAGGGCCAAAGGTTAGTCACTAAAATAAAACAACTCTGAGTTTAACAGCTTGCCTTGCTGTTTGCTCTTTAACACGAGGTGTGCGAACATGCAAATCACAATCACAAAGTCAACATGAAAACACCTCTTATTGCTCTGAAGACAAACGGCGCTGAATAAAACACATCAGGTTATTTACTCCACGTACGGTTTCATCAAACAGGAAATGAACCTCCTCCGCTGAGACGAGGAATATTTGAAATACTTCAGATCCTGACAAACCAGAATCCTTTCAAACTCAAAGTGAAACTGATTCTAAAGGGCTACGTCATATTGTGTGTCTCCAGCCTAAGGCGGTCTTTGCATGTTTCTCCGTCACAGTCTTCCCTGAAATCTCTCTTTTCATCGTCTGAACAACACCTGAGTCCAGAGGAATCCTCTGTGTCTCTGCGTGGTCTCAGGTGAGCTCACCAGCATTGTGGAGAGCCTGAACCCGATCCAAGTACTCGTTCACTTTGTCCTGGATCCCGTCCAGCTTGGACCCGGCCATGCCAGCGTATATGAGTGCCTGGGCTGCCTCCTGGAGAGAGGGGGGGGAACACCAGAACATGTGGAGGTCATAAAAACACATGGTAGACATGAACAGACTGTAAAGAGACATAAACAGTAATGAACAGATCATCAGGTTCAGTCTCTGCAGGGGGGAATACATCAAACATGTCTTTGTTTACTTTCAGGTGAGGTGAGCTAACAGCTGTTTACTCTACTTTATATAAAACACAGTCTGGTTATAGTTGCTCGTTATAATGTATTAATAAACTTACCTTGTAATAAAACACAGCCTCGTTGTATTTGGCACTCTGGTCGTATGTTACAGCTGTTTTAGCGAACACTACAGCGTCCCTCTCCAGCGCCGTGGAGTCCATCCTCTAAACTTCACCTGACAGCTAACAGGCGAGCTAACCGCTAGTTTCAGTAATTCACTAAAATATCAGAATATCTGCCTCTCCCCGCGAAACACAGCTCGATTCATCGACTTGAAGGCAGCATGTTGAAGACTATCCCGACGACAGTCCTCCGCTCCGTGTCCTAAACTCCTGAGGTTTACTTTTCCCTTCTGACAGATGACAAACACAACACCAGCAAAATACCAAAACAATCACGGTGTTTCCGGGACACACGACCCGCGCAGGCGCAGTGGAAGGGGGTTGGCTGTTGGCTGTCGTGTGTTGCGTTCAAAGGCGGTTAGAAACGACACAGATAGACTAGAATAGAATAGAATAGAATAGAATTACTTTATTGATCCCAAACTGGGAAATTGTGGTGTTATAGCAGCAGGTTATCCAAACACACATTATGAGTAAAAAACACAATACAAGCAAATCTAAACACAATATAATATTAAATACAAAGTAAATAAGTACTAAAAAATATCAAAAATAAGAATGAATGTGAATATATACAACCAGGATGTAACTAAGTATTACTAGTCTTAAATAGGAAGATTAAATGTGGAAGATTGAATGTAAATGTGCAAAAACAGAGTTGTAAATGGTTGTAAATTAAATATGAAAGATTAAATGTAAACGTGCAATAACAGAGTCGTAAATGGACAGTATTGACATAAGTTGAAGTGCATGAGTGTAGACATATTATAAGCAGAAACTGAGATGTTCTTCCTCCTCCTCCCGTCTTCTTTTTCTTCTTCTGTGTTGTTTAAAGGCGGTTGTCATTCATAATGTTGGATTACCGCCTCTGACTGGTGACAGATAAATCTACAATCTTCTGACTATAAACTTGTGAATAAAGAGAAACAAAACAAAATACTAATAATATTTCAGTTCAATTCAATTCAAAGGGGTTCATTAGCCAGGGAAACATACGTTTAAATGCTAAAGCTGGAATGGAAATAAAACATAAAATTAAGAGCAATAACAGAATAACAAAAATGAAACATTAAAGTAACAGATCTGAGCAGGTTCACAGTTTTATAGAAAGTGTAGAAACATCACAACAGTTTCACTTAAAATGTTAACGAACAACCCTGCATATTCTGACAATATGACAGATAATTAAGCGTAAATCTTTAAGCTCTTTTACTTTGATTGAACATCGAAGCTTCGTCTAAACATGACCTGATGACGGAGACACTTCAAAGACATCTTCAGCAGCAAACGACTGAAGAAGAGTTTTATTAGTTCCAGTTCAGATCAACTTTTCAACTTTTGCATGTAAAGGCAGAAAGTTGACTTGGACGTGTGAAAACATTTAAAAGCATGAAATAAACACAACAATGGAAACAGAGTGTGACGTGCTTTATGAAGACTTTATTAATTAACACCTCTTCAGTATTTATCATTTTTCACATGTTCAGCTTTTATTCCTCATATCTTATGATTCATCAACTTGTAATAACTGCAGGATGTTGTAGTGACACAAGATGACCACTAGATGGAGATATAGGTAAATGACTCTACTTTGTATCCCGAGAACAAAGTTTAGTGCAGAGCCTGTAAACAGCTTGAAAGGATATTTCTTTATCATTAACATGTAAATGAGTTATCTCACTCTGCAGACTCTGAGGAGTGTCTCTCATAAGAACACGCACACTCTGCATTAAATCATTAACTCACTTTCTTTATGGCAGTTTCCATAAATGAAGCAAAGCATTGATGAAAATCTGTTTGATGTATCAAAAGGTTTACTTTTAATGTAACTCAGTAAACAGCTTGTGACCCCGATGACCTAAAGGGTTCTTTGTTAGAAGTGTAACTGGTTCAGGATGTTTCCTGCTTAGCACAATGTTTGCATGAGGTTAAAACGTCATGTGTTTGGGAACGCCGACAGCCTAACGGTTATGTGGTGTGCCCCATGTACAAATCCATGTACAAATCAGACCTCTGACCTTTGCTGCATGTCATCCTCCCCCCTCTCTCTCCTCCCTGTCTCTCTTCAGCTGTCCTCTCTAATAAAGGGGGAATAAAATGTCCTGTGTTTGTCCCTCGAGTGAATGAGTGACATGCAGCCTCTCCTGCTTAACGAAGGTCCTTTCTGAATAAATGGAGCGACGCCGGCGAGCTCGTTCAGGCCGGTAACTGGAGCTGCACTGATTTCACACTGACCTGCGTCACCCTCCACAATCACCTTCTCCACGCTGCTCGTGCTCCGTTTAGAGATTTATTCAGAATCATTCATGTTTCTAACTGATTATTATTCATGATGTTATTTGATATGATAACATGGTATGAAATGACAGACATTGATTGCACAGGGAAGTATACACACACATATAGTTACTAACCACATATCTCCTTAGCAGCTCCTGAGCCCCAGAACAGTTTCAGCAGCTGGCTGTTCATCATGAGTCGGGTTAGGCCCAACCTTTCTGCCTCTTAAAGGAAGTTTTTCTCTCCACTGTAACTTTGCTAAATGTTGCTAAGTGCTCATGATGGATGACCGCTGTGTCTTTGTAATATAAAAATAACTAGGTTTTTTACCTGCTTTTTGTAAAGTGTCTTGAGATATCACTTGATTGATTGGTTGACTGAAGGAAACACTGAAGTGGGACTGAATGATATAGAGCTTTTATTCTTCTTGAATTTATTCTTAAAGTTTAAGCTAATTAAGATATCTCTGCAAAAAGCTGTACAATCTTTCCCCCCTGGATCTTCTCATAGTGATGTTTAATCTCTGTCTCTCTTTATCCAGCAGGTTTTTCCTCCTCCAGTGGTGAAAGAGTTAATCTCAGGGATTACATCACCGCCTCTCTTTGCCCTTTCCCATCTCTCCCTACTCTCCTCTTTACATCTCTCCCCTCCTCCCCCCTCCCTCTCCAGCCTTCAGTCTCCTCCCATCCTGTCCATGTGCCCAGCCCCTTCATTACCCCTCGTATGAAAGGGAAGCCTCTCGCTGGCAGCCACACTCCCAGAGCCTCACAGGAACCTCCCTGCACACTCAGGACACAGAGAGACGGCTGCAAGCCAAATCATAATTAGTCTTCCTCTGAGTGAGGCCTCCACTTGCCAAATCTCTCTGTTCTCCAACACTGACATGGAGCTTTTCAGTGTGCATAAAACCTTTCAGCACACTCACCCGGGGGAGGAGAAGCAGCAGATGCTGAACCTGAACCGACGCCTGGAGACCTACATGAGCCGGGTCAAACACCTGGAGGAAGAAAATGCGCTGCTTGCAGAAGAGATCCAAGATATGCGCCGCAGTGATCAGGGGGCTTTGAGTAGACGGAGGGGCCTGGAGGAAGAGCTGCATCGTGGGAGGCTGGAGGTGGATGCAGTCTGGAGGGACAGGGTCTACACAGAGCTGGAGGTGGGTAAGCTGGTCGAGCAGCTCCATGATCTGGACCTGCAGAGGCAGAGCGAGGCTCAGGCCCAGCTGGAGGCCAAGACGAAGCTGGAGAGGTGCAGGAAGGAGCTTGAGGAGGAGCAGAGGGCCCAGATCTGGCTGAGGGAGCAGGTCAGTCAGCTTGAGAATGAGATGAAGCATCTAATTCAAACCCATGAGCAGGATGTGGCCCACTTAGAAGCCACATTAACCCTCTCCAGATCCACAATGCCAGCCATGTTGGCTCAAAGAAGCAACCAGACCCAGAACCTCCTCGAGCTGGGACACGAGTACTCCCAGAGGGCCACATGGGCACGGCAGGAGGCAGCAGAGGCCTATCAGGGGCAGCTAGCTCAACTAGAAGGGTCCCTTAACCAGGCCAGGAGCCGTTTGACCCGAGTGGATCAGGAGAAGCGCGAGAGCCAGCTGAAGCTCCAAGCGCTGGAGAAGGAGCTGGCTTTAGCTCAGGACGTCAGGGAGCATCTGGAGAAGACCGCCACCCATCAGGGACAGAGACACAGCCAGGAGATCCAAGAGCTCCAGGTGAGAGCAGAGCGTCCACACTCATCTTACAGAGCGTTGACTCCATATTCTAACTGTAGTTTAAATATACTAACAGCTAACAGGGCTAACGCTAACTTTCTTATCATTTAAAATCCTGAAATTATTCTTAATATCTCAAAACTGACTGTTTTAAATGTTTGCTGAAAACCAGAGTAACAACCAAAATCACTGCAGCATCCTCTGCATCCACTTCTGAAGAGTCAATGATTGACAGGTGTCATGGCCACGCCCCCTTGATTGATTGATTGATTGATCTGTGTTCTGTGTTTCCTCTCCGTCGTCACGCTCTGATCATTCTCTCAGGTCTCTGTCTCGTTCCCTGGTGAACATCTCAGGCCTGTAGTCAGGCAGACGTTCCTCTGAAGGCTTCAAGGAACATTTATGAATTCTCTCTCTTCAGCTCTCCTGAATCACGATCGCTCATTTAATATTCTGATGGAAGGAAAACATTTGGGTGTGAAAGCCTCTCTCAGAATTCTTTCAGACCTTTTTTTTAACCACTTCCTTTTCCTTTGGTCCCTTCCTGTGTTGGCAGGAGCACCTGGAGGGCCTGGAGGCGGAGAGAGAGCAGCTGGGCGAGCAGATTGAGCAAATCCTCGTGGAGAACCGAGGCCTGCTGCAGGCCAAGATGTCCCTGGGGCTGGAGGTGGTCACGTACAGGTACTCTACAGGAAACAAAGAAGTCATTGTTGTTTTTAGGATCGCATACAAACAAAATCAATACAAAGACACAAATCTGGAAAGTGTTTTAAATATAAATGAACTTTGACTTCACATTGAATGTTTGATTACAGTATTCATCACCTGTCGTCTTTAAACTCCGATGGAAAGGAGAGTCTCTGAGGTGAAGATAAAAAGTGTTTCCTGTCAAAGTTAGAGGGATTTATTCTTCACAAAGATTTATTTCTCATCACAAAGTGAAGGCTTGTGCAGAGGCTGTTGTGTTTGTTGTTTGTTGTTGTTTGTTGTTGTTTGTTGTGCAGAGTTAGTTGAGGTTGTTGTGATGATACTGCCTCCTCACATGTCAGCTTTGTCTTCATTTCCATCAAAGGTTCTGAGATCAAAGATGAAAATCAGCCTCTTCTTCCCGTCCTCGTCATTTATAGATTAAAGTTGAGTGTTTCAGAACTTGGCCTGTGTGTCGTCTGAGGCTCTTCATGATGGGGACGCTTTAATGAAGTGTCAGTGTCGACGAGACGAGTGGAAACCTTCATGCTGTGATGGAAAGGTTTCAAAGTAGCGCGGGGTAACAAAGCTGGTGTGGGATGAAACGTGTTTGATGTTAAAAGATGAAATCATGTTTTCCTAAACTCATTTTCTAAAACTTTCTTTGTCCTTTAAGTTAAAGAAAAGGTAAAACTCTGATTTAGTTTCTGATACTTTCTGTTCTTTTATGAACCAATCTTTGAGATCATCAGTTCTGTCATACTCACAGGACAAACAGAGAATTCTCTTTTCAGACCTCAGTAACAACGCTGAATTACGAGTGACGTTTATATGAATTTAAAAAAAACAAAAAACAAGTCCAATTGTGCTCTGCTGCGGCGTCATTGACAAATAAAGTGTAAGATTTATGTTCACTGGTTTGTTCTTTGACTAAATTCAACTTGAACCAAGCTGGTTTCAGGGAAAGCGAACCCGTCACCACGTTGCGGTTTTCCCTCGTCTCAAACGGAACGTGCAGCGCTCGTTGTTGTTGAAATGCGATTTAGACAACGTAGATGATTCTGCATGGAGACCGCCATCCATGGGACTCCAGCGCCCCCCTGCAGGAACAGACAGGTGGCGTCACTTAGGCTTGGCATGCAGACAGTCTATGGTCGTGCAGCGATCACAGGGAATAAAGGTCACCACCCCCTCCCACTGGCTCCAGGTGAATTCTCCTGATTATATCCTGCTGCGTTCTCACATCAGCTCACTCTGACTTTCTGAAGAATAAATACGAGGAGGCTGGAGGAGAAACTCCGGGTAAAGAGAGAAACATTCAGCTCTTTGTGTTCACACACGATCCTCCCCCTGAAACCTTTTGGAGTGTTTCTGGAGTTTTGAACACGGCTGCTGTGATCTGCAGCTCAGGAACAGACTTATGAAGACGGTCCAGAGTGAGAGCAGCCATCTGGTCTGCAGCTCATTGAAACAGCATCCTCTGTCGTCTTTGACACACTAACTTATCTATTATGCAGTTCTATAGTGGTGTCTCCTTTCTCCCCCCCCCCTCCTCCTTCAAAATATTGACCCTCATCCTTCAGTCAGAGGAGACCCCCTTTATGAGCTGTGGGAGTGTAGGGTAACATCGGAGAGCCGGGACAGGAGGACAGCTAGAGGACGTTTTAATGTCGCTCGCTGCACAGGCCTTATTGTTTAACATCATGTGTTATATCATATGATGTTTAATCTAAATGATCCTGAGAGTAAAGACACAGAGCAGGGAAGTGTTTTTATTCATGCAGCTTGTTTAATCATCAATCTTTATTTGTAGAGTCAACTCTGAACAAGTGTTATCTCAAGACTCTTTACAAAAAATGCAAAAAACTTTGAATGGTCAACATGTGAGACAGTGTGTGTGTGTGTGTGTGTGTGTGTGTGTGTGTGTGTGTGTGTGTGTGTGTGTGTGTGTGTGTGTGTGTGTGTGTGTGTGTGTGTGTGTGTGTGTGTGAGTGTGGTCAGATGGCTCCTCAATAGCAGGCTATTTACTTCATCACCATAACAACAGATGTCAGTCAGTACCTGCTGCTCGCTCCTCTTATGAAGGTAGATATGTTGCAAAATAGGAGAGCTTGTAGATTGTGATGTGAGAACTTGAAGGAAAAAAAAGGGAACTTGTATGTAAAAATGTTTACTTGTATATAAAATCCACACACGTTAAATTAATTTGCGGTCACAAATGGAAAAAAAAAATGTGGAGTCACAGAAAAAATATTTACAAATGTGTAGACTGATGTTAACACATACAAAAATGATAGCTGCAAACTTGTAATCCACCATTTACTGACATGGATTTTTAATACTCGTGTCCATTATCCTTTACAACCACAACTCTCTAATTACAACCTTTCAAATCTGCCGCTACGACTTCACAAACGTACTTTTCTCGCCTGAATTTTGCAACACATTTTGCGAGACGTCTGTAGCAAAACAAATTTGTACTAGTAGAAATGCCACCCAAGCTATAATTGTTGTATGTGTTAATATCAGTCTACACATTTGTAAATATTTTTTCCGTGACTCCACATTTTTTTTTCCATTTGTGACACCAAATTCATTTCACGTGTGTGTGATTTAAAATATATATATATATATATATATATATATAAGTAAACATTTTTACATACAAGTTCCCTTTTTTTTCCTTGAAGTTCTCACATCACATTCTACAAGCTCTCCTATTTTGCAACATATCTACCTTCATGTCCTCTTCCACCACTCTGTGTGCAGCATCATGTCAGCGTTCACCACTTTGTGCTTCATGCAGGTCGTTAAAGGGACGCTTGGTTTTATCCAGAAAACATTATTTGCTATATTAGTTAAAATATTACACCCCGACTGCATCTGATAAATCATGTTCTCTGAAAAACTCAGACAATCACTGCCATGAGGTCTGGATGATGGGAATCAATCAAATGCCTCTCTGAGTCCCTGTTCGTACTCTTCCCTCCCCAACGCAGCAGTCTGAACTCAAAGTGCTTCACCATCATCTCAGGTATTTTCTATGTCTACAGGAGGACGGCAGAGAAAGCTCAGCTCAAATGTCCACTGCCACGGTTACCTGTAACCGCTCGGCCTGCTGGATCATGTCCTCTCTCTGGAAATAATAAATGCTAAAATGGCCATCGTTAAAATGCTGTAATATGTGTTACACCCAGGTGAAGTCGCTGAAACGCTGGATGTTATAACGTGGTCATATTGAGCCTCTCTAACCTGCTGAGCTCTGAGGATCCGTCCAGTAGATCCGATTCAAAATCTCAACTTGTTCTCTTGTTTCTGTCTCCACAGAGCTTTGCTGGATCATGAAAGCTTCACAGGAAAAATCCCCCAAAGACACATTTCCATCACAGGTAAACAAAGTAAACATTATTCATCATCACCACTTTGTCAGTGACTTCACTTCTGCAGGTTTAAGACCTCAATGTGTCTGATAAACCATCACATCCCCTCCAACAGTCTCAAGTGTCAGGAGGACTGCTCCTGAAATCCTCCTGACCTGGTTGTTCACACATGCACCTCACAGCACCTCCCTGTTGGTCAGGGGGGGCGGGACTCTCCTGAGGCAAGATGTCATCAAATCAGGGTTTAGGTTTTGATGAGAAAGTGGGGAATGACATGTAGCAAAGGGCAGAAGTTAGATACCACCCCTCGCACTCGCTTGAGGAGAATTCTCGTGATTTTATCCTACTGCGCTCTCACAGCTGCTCCCCTCCTGGCAGGAGAACATATGGCTGAAACCTGCGCTCCCTAATGCAGGTACCTTTAGTCCGAGCTCCTCAGACATCAGTCAGACGTCATGTCCGTCTGACTGGGCTGGATGGGTTAGGGGGTCTCAGCTGTCTCGGTTCAGGGGTCTCGGCTAAGAGAGCCGAGGTAGGCACTTTCAGTCCTGTAATGGAAGCCACCTTAATGTGGTCCCCAAAGGTTATTGAACCATATGACTCAGTCTGGTAAGTTAGACGCCAGAGACAGGAAACAATGATCAATATCTCCCCATTAGCGTCCACGCTCCCCTGAGGAAATGTTCCCATAATGCTCGTGGGCGGTTCTTCACTGTGACTCATTAAGATAAGGAAAGATCATTTCAAATGCTAGTCCAGGCTGAGTGGAGAAATCAGATATCTTAAGATATATTTGACTAAAAATGAGTTGGTTTCATTTTACACTGAAGAGATTAAAGCAAGTCTTTATTTTTACAGCAGCTTCATTGTGTATTCATGAGCTGAGCTTTCTTCCTCCACAGATGCAGCTTTCAGTCCTCGTGGGGTTACAAAGAATCACCGGACACAGCTCTCTGCGAGCCACAAAATCACCTCCCCCTCGTCTGTCCCAGCGACGACACCAATCTGGAGCAGGAAACCTGTTTCCCTCGCTGCAGCTCCAAACATTTCAATGAAATCCTCTTTCAATGTCAACACAAAAGCAGCAACCTCGGAGAGCCTTTATCCAAAAATACTGCAGGACGGAGCTGTTGAAAACTTCAGACCTCAGGAAGTTCAGGAGAAAGTGACCTATGCTGAGCCTCGATCAGCTCCTCATGACGCTCTCCATGGAACCAGACCAGAGGAGAAAGGAGGTGAAGAGGAGGGGAAGAAAGTCCATGTTGAGCATGCAGAGGGAAGACCGTTTGTTGAGTCGGTTATCAGTCATCAGGTTGAGTCTGGACTCAGCAGCGAGCCGCCCTTTAAGGATGGAGTTAGTTGTCATCAGTTGGACACATCAAACCTCACACCATACAGCGTCCCAATCAAAGAGGAGCCAGATGAAGCAGCAGAGCATCTGCAAGAGGAAACCTCCGATTCTGAAACTCAAGCTGTGATTGAACCAAACTTTGGATCCAGAAGCAGCAGTCCAGTGTCTGAATGTGAGCCTGAGGAAGGCGGAGAGGAAAACAGCTTGGAGGAGGACGCAGGCGAGGCGAAGCGAGGAAGAAGCTTGACAGAAGGAAACAAGGAGGCGGATGTAGAGGATAAGTTGTACCCTGACGGAGAAGAGATGGACACATGGGACAGTGTCATAGAGAGGAAGGTTGAGCTGAAGGATGAGGGAATAAAAACAGATGAAGAAGAACTACAGCATGCTGAACCAGAGGAGGACATATCAGCACGAGAACAGGAGCATGTGAAGAGGCAACACCAGAACATCACAGCCTCTCCGATGACGCACACTGAAGATGATCATCATTCTACATTTGATCAAGATGCTCCGCTGTCTGACAAAGAAGACGAGGATTCTCAAAATGTCTCCGTGTCGTGGCGGACCGAGCTGGAGGGCGACAGCTACGCCCAGGAGAACACGCTCGCTGATACCCGCCCCCTGATCCGCTACAAGAGCGATGAAACCGACGCCAACACTCATGCGTCGCACATCGATGAGAGCGAGTCCAGCGAAGGTGAGCAGGAAAAGAAAGTGGGAGAGACAGGAAATGGAACGTGGGGAGAAGGCAAGTCAAAGAGGTTTGGCACCATGGAGGATCTGTGTGAAGAAGTGGAAGGGGACGGGTTGGACGAGGACGATGATCTGGGATACACCCATACTGAGGACCGCTTTGTTGGCCTTGCTGTAACTGGGAGTGCTGCTCCAGAAAGTGCTGAAGACAGTTTCAGGGATGTAGGAACGGAGGTGCATACCAAAGCCATCCCCCCAAATGTGGACTACGATGAGGAGTTAGAGACGGACAAACTTGTGGAAGAGGAATTAGAAAATCCCGCCACATACAGATACAGTGCTCACTTTGCAGAGCGGCAGATCAGCAGGATCGAGGATGTGCTCCATCCACAGAGCAGATCTGTTGAGGAAATAACCCGGCAAGAGGGGGCGGGGACAACTGAGACAGAGGACCCGACTTCCTGTGCAGAGCCTGAAGCGACAGAAACGTTTTCTGAGAACGTTTTCTTCAGTGGTTCATCACTGGTGATACCTCGGAGAGAAACAGACGAGCTGGTTCAGCATGAAGATCAAGATGCTGCAGAGCAGACTGTGTGGATGGGGACACACGCTGATCCAACAGGGGATCAAACTGGCCTCAGTGAGCTCCTCGATAGGCCTGATGTGGGAGAAAACTCAGAGTCTCTGGTGACAGCAGATCAGGAAAAGCTGCAGGGTGTGGCTGCCTCCTCTGAGGAGGAAAAGGTTCTATCTGTCGAAGCAGCCGCTGCATCTCAAGAACATCTACTCAAAGATTTTCTTCACTCTGAGGGATTTCCAGATGTTCCTGACTCCTCTGAATGGGACGTTCCAGAGAGGCAGTTTGTCATACGACATCAGAATGAAGGTCATGAAACATGTGATAACCTGTTGCCTGAATCAGCTGAGAGTTTCCTTCCCGGTGACAAAGACTCCGATGGGGGAGGTCTCCAGGAGCAGTCCCCTGAAGGTGTACCTGATGAACACGATCTCTTCAGGATGAAGGATTCTCAAGAGTTATTGACCACTAACAGCAAAGACAAAGCCCCCCTTGGCTTCTTCAGCTCTGGTGTACAGAGTGACCTCTGGATGTCCTCCTTGGAGACCGGTGCAACCAATCAACCAGCTGAGGCCTGCAATGAAGCAGCTGAGCAAACCAATAAGAATCAAGGATATGCTGACTCCTCGGCGTGGGGGATTTTGGACGACCCGAATGTGGTTAACAAGAACTCAAAGGTGGACATTGATTTTAAAGCTCTGGACACCAGAGACACAGAGCAGGAGCAGATGTTCCCAGAGGCGAAGCAGCTGACGTGTAGAAATGATGCTGAGGGAGACTTCGTCCATTCAGAGGAGTCCGAGGCGGATGGTGAATCCTGGTCATCTGAGAGCGAGGAAGCAGTTTAAAGAGCAATGAGACGATTTGTTGAACTAGCTTTAGTTAGATTCACTCAGTACGTTTACATGCCGTTAAAAAAAGTGGAATGATTGTGTAACTCAAACAGGATGAACCTGGTGATTAACTCCCCAACATGTGGAGAAGTGAAGCCGGGGATTCCTTAAATTTACTGACATTTAGGATTGAAAACAACATACAGGCGCTGTACGACATCCACCTTGTAGGTCATTTAGCATTTAGCATTTAGCAGATATACTGTCAGCCAGAGGCGTGCTCAGTTCATCAAACATTTCACATTATTAACCGTTAACAAAGTTGTTAATGCAGTTAATCAGTTTATTCTAACTTTAACCGGCATTACGGTTTAAAGAGTGATCGTGTTAACTGGTGGCCTTCAGCTAAATGCTTCTGTGGTTGTCATAGTAACAGATTGGTAATTTTGACATTAAAATAAAACACGACACAAAGGTTCTTCATTAGGAAATTTTCCGTCTTTAACATCTGTTGTTACTACGACAACCACAGAGCCTTACCTAATCCTAACTGCCCATTTCCACAGAGTCCAGTCGCCGCAATCTGTCAGCGCCATGTACTGTGGCGCGGTTTGCTGCCACTCTACTCAATACTCCTGTTTCCACAGCAGGCGCCACGGTCTGTCTTTGGAGCGTGCCCGCAGCGGCGCTACACTCCGACCCATTTCAAATAGTTTGCTGCAAGCAGACAGGAAGTTGGACAAGGACATACAACAGAGTGTTCAGGTTTTTTCAAAATAAAACACAACATATAGTTCTCCTGTGATCTTGTGAACCTGTGAGTACAGCTGCTCATGGCGGCGCTCAAACTCCAGAAACAGTCCCAGTGGGCCGTCTGACTGAAAGCAGCACGCACTGACTCTGTGGAAACTGGGAAGGACAGTATTCCAGTTAAACGACCTAACTGAGGTTTAACTGTCACTCCACTTATCTCTGCATGTAAACATACTGAGTGTTTGTAGATTTTCTTTTTCTATGAAAGCCAAAGTCGTGCCTTGGTGCACGCCAACGTGACACAAACCACCGATGTGCCAAGTCTAAGTCCAGATATTCTGAGTGCTGGTCTCTTTCTGTTTTTGACTTTCTTTGAGGGTGCATGCTCTGGGAGGAGGTTTTGCATGTCTGCATGAGGGGACAGCATGAAGTCAAAGGGTTCATTGATCTGCTTCCAGTGACTGATGGAAATCAAAGAGAGCAGAAGGATGGTCACCGACACACTGATAGAGGGTCTCCTCTCACTGGAAAGACTCATGTTGAATGAATGACTGTCTGTTAAATGAAGAACTGTTGTGCAGGTTGGTGATTGGTTGATATGCAACATGAAGGTTTCACTCCTCGTACT